AACCGGCTTAGACCATTTAAAATAATATATAAACTAGAAAGATTTGTTACATCTAAAACTAAGTTTTTAAAGTCAACAAACTTCGCAGAAGAATGAAAATTAAAAGAAGCTATTTAAAGAATAGAGAAACCCTAAGACACCAAACAAAGCGCAAAACCAAGTCGAAGATCAGCACAAGAGGGGCAAAACCCATAAGAATAAGCCAGCGAACACACATGCATATTCATCGAAATGCAAAAATGGAAATAAATAGAATAAAGAATATAAATAAAATATAAAGTTAAAGTAGGCAGAGGAAATCGAATAAGCAAAAGGACGCAAGCTGAGCTGCCGCTAATTGAAAATGCCAGCAAACGCATGTGTGTGTATGTATTAGTGTCGGTGAGTGCGTTGCTTGTCGAAAGGGCAATAACCGAGCGCAGTGCGTAAAGCGAACACTGGACACGCCAGCTGAAGACGGAGCGACACGACGGACAGCCGGGCGCAAAGCAGCTGAATGACTGAATGACTGAACGACTGACTGGCAGTGGCAAGACAAGTCGACAAACCGACAAACACATCGAACTGAACCAAATTGAACCGAACCAAACTGCAATGAACTGAACCGAAGCAAGTCAACCAAAACTAAACTTAACTAAACTAAACTCCATGTAGTTTTGCCTATTTTTTAATATTCGTTGCTGCAGCTACGCACACGCATATGTATGTACGTGCATATACATGTGCGCTAATAACTCACTCAAGTGTGGTGGCGTGGCAAAGCAAGAGAAGAGAAAAATAGTGAGGAGGGGAAGGTGGTAGAGTGTTAAGTCGAAGGAGCAACGGATGCGTAAGCATGTGTGTGTGTCGGGAGGGACGACAGGGCGCTAAGAAGTGTGCATGCCTCAGGCAGATGCAACGTCATGCACGGCAGGATAAAGGACTAATGCTGCCACGCCGCTGCTAGCCTATTGAATGCTGGCCTGCATTGGTATTTAGCTTTTTTACGACCCGCTTTAATGGGCTTTCGCAGCGCTAAAATAAGCCACTGACCATAGACAAACGCACACAAAGCCACATACACAAGCAACAGCAATAACAACAACTCTATTTGTGTGTGTGAGTGTCTATGCGTTCCAATTACGCACATGCATTCGCTCAGGTGCATTTGCTTGCTACCCTGCACTTACGCACTTTTCTCGCACACAAACATACACATATACATACATGCCACTTTTTCCATTTTTTCCGTACGAGTTTTTAATTTTTTCTGTTGTTTTTTTTTGCACTTTTTCGTTGTTTTTGTATGCATTCGCTGCGTGTATTTGTTGCTTTTGTTGTTGTCAGCACGCTTGCCACAGCCCGTATTCTATTGCTGATGGACATGACCACCTCAAACACACACATACATACCTACATCACTAATGATTATGCATTAGTGCTTTGGTAGAAGGAGAAGGGACAGGCGGAGGGACTGTCGGGCTGTGCAGCACACCCACACATTGCTTGTCATATATTTGGCATCTAAAAGGATATTGATCCGCGCTCATACTCTCGCTCACCGGATTCCACGCAGCCCAACTCAGTGCGTAAGAAAAAAAATAAAAAGTTGCTGCAGTCTAAACTGCCCCAATCTAACTAAGTTCACTTTGCGAAATAAGGGAGTTCTAGGCGCTTTTTGTGCTTTTTATGCCTAATATTTACATTTGTTTCAGTACACTCGGAGAAATTGAACAATCTATTGAACTAATTTGAAATAGAGAATAATTTTGATGAATTTTTTATTTTGAGAGAGCCGCTATTTTTGTGTCTTTAATACGTAAGCGCTGTCATAACCTAAAAGTGGAACTTTAATAACTATTACTCCAAATTGTAGGCAACGTTTTGGTGTTGTTAATGCAAAGGCCTTTTGCTCACCGAAAATTAGGAAGTTGCCTACATTTTGGGTGAACATATTAACATCCTAAAGAAAAAACATGTGTACGATTTTTTTTTGATAACCTTTGACATTATTAAGTTGAAGCATAAATGCTGCTTTGCAAAGTAAATTACGAGTAAGTCTCAAAATATCAATAACCTCACACTCTGCCAATCGTCCTACAGTTATTCAACAAATAGAGCTCCTCTTCGCTGACAGGTTTAATATTATCACCTAAGGAATCAATGCTGTAAGAGATACATTTAAATATACTTGTAAATTTACTAAATTCTTAGTTTAAACTTGTGAAAGAACCTAACAATCCAACCTTAGTTGCTCAACCCACTTTTTGATACCACTAATCAACTGCTTCAAATATGGGTCAATCATTCATATGCTGCTTTCCGGAAAGCCCTTACGTTTACCAAAAAAGAAACAAGAAATAACGTTGACTTCGGTTGCACCGAAGCTATAGTACAATTTAAAAATACAAAAGATTTGTTACAAAAACTTTGCTCGGTTTGTTGTATGACAGCTAATTTCTATAGTGATTCGATAGTAGTCCGATATCGGCCGTTCCGACAAATGAGCAGCTGCTTGGTAAGCAAGATATCAGACAGACGGACATGGATCGTCACGCTAATCATTTATATACACATATATATATTCTAAGGTCTCTGGTGTTCCCTTTTAGGTGTTGCAAACATCGTAGCGAACTTAACCCTATTCAGGGTTTAAAAAAATTTGATGATCGGGTTAATGAAAGATTAGTCCCCGCGTTTATTAGAGTCAGTTTAGTAATGCGTTGTCCCACGAATATCGTTTAATGGACTAAAACTGGATCAGAAATAGTTAAAAACAAGGAATTTCTATAATACCCTTCACAGGAACATCTCTTATAGCAAAAAGGGTATAAAAAATTCTTTATCTTAATTTGGATTGGTCAGCTCGTATGGCAGCTATATGCTACAGGCGTTCCATCCGAACAATATATTATATGAACAATAATTTATGCGAAATTTTGTGAATAATAGAAATGTTGCTACTTAAGGCTGACTGAAGAAATATGAGGCATGTTATAAACATCTTACATACAAATGAATTTAAGAATTGCATAGATATCTGCACGTACGGTGTATTTGACAAAGAAGGTGCAAAGAAATTGGAACTTAAAATATCAATATATTAAATGCATTGCGCTCCAACCACTGACTAATTTTGATGTGAATATCAGGAACAATAAATAAAATATTTCAACTCCTTTCATACAATGTTCAGTCATTAATTTCTTAAAGAAATCATATTTTCTACAATCAAAGAATCAAGTGCTTCTATTTCGTGGCACACATGCTGTATTAATTAATGACACAAATATTAAAATACGCACTATGATCAGTGTACTTTACTTTTCGCTTAACAAATATTATTTCAACTATTATTTTTCAAATTTCATAGTCGTCGAAGTTTTCAATGTATTTGCGCATAAAATGTTTCATATATTCGTACATACATACAATACCATATGTATACTCATATTCATACAAATAATTCACTCTATTGACAGCATTGAAGAAATGCATGCACATACAAATATACACTAATACAAATGCGTGTATGTCGTTGGGTGTGAATGCGATTGTGTCCGTTCATCATTTGGCCATGAGCCAGCTAGTCACCGCCAACCAATCGCCCCATCTCCCTCAATGAAAGTTGCATTTCCGTAGCAGCGTATGGCATAGAAGCAGTAGGGAGTGTAAGAGGATGGTGATTGCTGTTATAATTTCGCTCATTTCTTTTTTTCTCACCGCCTGCTGCTAAAAATTATAGCACAAGTTCGCTGCTGTTGGGCCTGCTTACGCATTTTGTGTGCGTGAGAATGCACACAGTCGTGGTTATCGTCATATATATGTGTGTGTGTGCATATGTATATGTCTGTATGGATGTATATCTGCATGTCTTTGGTGTAAAGCTTGAAATTTCTAGCACTTTTACGCATATGTATCGTCTGTGTGGGTGTGGGTGTGCGTGGCTTTCTCAGGGTGCGTGATATCCTTGATGCATTTACTTTTGTTTCTATGTGCAAAATGCACACACATACATACATATATACAAAAATATATATCAAGAAAAATGCATATGCATTGAAAAATGAGGGCGGCACTGCCTTTGGTGGTATGCGAAACTTATTTGGTGTAGTATATCCCTGCCATAAATCGGATGGTGTTATTGCGAACTAACGGTACTAGATTGAGTGCCAGTTTATATTTTCTCAATAAATCTTATTTTTAAATATATTTATTATTTCTATGAACCTAAATAAATATCCTCTATACACCCTTTTTTCGCCATTCCCAGACTAGTTACATAATCAGCCGATCCAGCTCCAACCTTCTCATTGCCACTATTGCTTCATTTGCTGTGTGGCATTTACAAAATTTACACACACACACATATATATACATACATATATGCGTGTATTGGAGTGCAATACAGCTGCACATTGCGTGCATTGCAGACAATTTTTTCTGCTGCATTTGTTCTTCGAATTGCATTCGATCAGCGCTTTTTGTCTGCCTAATTATTCTGGAAAATTTCTGCCAATCAGCGAGCAGATGCAATCGATTTGTATATGTATATACACGCATGTACAGCAGTATATACAATTATATACATATTCATATAAATTTTTTACACATTCACACTCATACCGCATGGTACATGTGTGTGTGTGAGTATGATGTCCGTTCTTTACGCCCTTTAATTTGCTTTGCTAATTAAGCAGGTTTTTTCGAAAGCTATTTTCTGCAAATCAAATGTGTAAAATATCTTATGGTAGCAATATATATTTACAATACAATATAAACATATTGTATGTAGGGCCCAGTGTATTATATTTCTGCTATGAAAAAAGTTTTAAAAGCCATCCGTGAGGAGACCTACAAATATTATACTTCATGAAAGTGTATTCATATTTCTTACAACCACTTCCATCCAGTTAGTTACTATTTCCGTAAAGCTGAGTACTTATCTTTATACCCTAAACAGAGTAAATTGATGCAATTAAGTTCTGGATATAACATCATTCATATGACTTCTTTTGCAGGAACGAATTCGATGCGGGCCGATGATTCCACCAGACTAAAAACCACATCAAACTTTCAGTTTAGGTGAATCTAAAGGTTGTTCGTGAATAATATGTGGATTTTCTTTGCACCAGAAATGACAGTTGGGTTTATTTACCGCACCACTCAGATAAAAGTGAGCCTCTTCGTAGAATAAAATTGAATAATTTCTAAACGTTGTTCTTGCGTACATCTTTCCATGATGAAATTGTAAACATTACTGTATACAATGAAAAAAAATTACATCTCATGACACATTTAAAATTGTCGAAACGACACTTAGAAATCAAATTCATGCCTATTGTAAACCCCGTTATACATACATGATCAGCTTGACGAGTTGAGTTGATTTAGCCATATATACGCCAACAAGTTGCTCAGTTTTTGAGATATCAGAATTTTTGCACATGTTCTTTTTTCCCAAAGAAGCAGCTCATTTGTCGGAATTAAATTCTTGTAAGAAATACTTTTTTACTTGCCGAGATATCACTTTACGAAATTTATTTTTTACTGTTCGAGAATAACTCTACGATTTCTGAAAAAAATTTCCAGATCGGACCCCTATAACGATCAAATTAAAGTTTTTAAAGTTAAAGTAAATTAAAGTTTTTGTATGGAAACTTTTTTATTTGTGAAAATGTATCTTCGCGAAACTGGAACTGTTCTTTTTATTTAAGACCTTTATCTCTTTGAGTATTTTCCAGGTTTTCATTGAAGGTATCATCAAGGAACGGATCGCTAACATATGGTTGTTAAAAGACTCAGAGGTACAAAGTTTCCGACAGGTGAAAAGCTTCCTGCTATGTAAGGTGTATTTGGATGCAGATCACATGTTAATCTTCTCGAAACTGTGTAAAGAGAAGTTTAACTTACTAAAGCACCATAGCCAAAGCGATAAGATAACAAAATTACACAGAGCTGACGAGAAGCGGTATTCCGTGGTCTCGTACCCAGTAAATTCGGTAAAATAGACGAGGTTATGGTCTTCTAGTTCGTGTAGCCTCCTTCAAAGAGATGATTATTCAGTCTGATAGCAGAGCAGCGATATTAGTTCACTAATCGTGCATTCAAAATTAGTTAAAGAATACATCGCTTCATTATAACTTGCATTAAGGCATTTCGTAGTAGCAGTAGTGGTTCCAGGTGATATCGTATTCTTACGATTAGTTTGCGTGGAAAGTGACACGTGTCAGAAAATCGTCAAATTGTAGACGAATCGAAGCTCTGTTGTCTCCTGTCAGTTTGTTACTGGAAGATTGGAACGCGCATGAACTTGGAGTGCGCGTTTGAAAGCTCTTGCTGACTCAAGAGATCGAGTGAACAGTTCACCCTCATCAGGTTTCGGTTTCGGCAATTGTTTGCATTCTGAGGGACGTTCATGCGCTTAAAATTATCTCAAAACTTCCATAATGTAATTTCGAAGTGTCATCGAAATCAATCGTCGTAGCAAATTTCTGATGACTTCAAGTCGCTTTGTCGATTTTGAGGATTGCTGGTTGTTGGCACTGCAAAGTCTTCATCATTAACTGTCTATGACCTACCGGACGTACATCGTGTATCGGGTATGAGCTTTTAACTCTTAACATTTTACATTTTAGTTTTGGAAAAAAAATGTCACCTTACTTTCGGTGGATATAATTATTATAATAATATAAATTGCTATTGAGACTAAACTCAATGTGTCGGAGCCATCGCCAACCAAAGGCAGCTTATATTACCGAATTCGTCTGCTTCATCTGGCAGCCAGCGCAAAGCAGAATTGTTAAGTTATAAATAATGCCATATTTGCATCTTCCAACTTACTTACGATTGCGAATATTCGCATGTGTCGTTTATTTATGACATATGTACATACTAACATTTCCTTCCACATTATGTAGTCATCATCATTTCCAACAGCTGAACCGCATTGATTCGCAATAGACGTTGTCGAAGTTTACGCACAATGAATGTAACACACAAAAAATCGCAACAACAACAACAGTCTCACATCTGCCACACATTATTGGCAATAGTTCCCTTTGTCTTTTGCAGCGCGCAACCAACCGCTGCCCTCCCGTGCCAATACATACGTAACTACATGCCTACATCTGTGGCACCACACCAGGGAGTGTCGCTAGGTGCATGCGTGAGTGCGTGCGTGCGTGCAAAACAAAAACGGGCACACAAATTCACAAGCATGTGGTTCTGTATGTAACATATATATGCGAGTAAAATAAAATATTTTTGCCAAAGACAAGAAAAATAGTTTACGACCAAGTTACGTGGAATAATGACTGGTTTTCAGAGTAACATAATCGGTCAGTGACTCGGGTCGGCGCTGCGGCAGTGCCAGTGACTGCAATTTGAGAACCCCGAACCGAGTCACCGAAGTCAACGCTGTCACCGCCACCAACGGCCGGGCCACTGCCACAGCGTCAGCGCCATCAACAGCCCATCAACCGGCATTGGCATCGACATTGCCAACAGCGTCCTCGACGTTCGTATCGTCGTCTTCATCGTCACATCGTCAGCGCCCAGCACAAAAGGTGCACAATCATGGTTTTGGTTGCGCTGCTGGTGCGCGGTACGCGGTGCGGTGCTGCGGTTGCTGCCAATGCGTGCCGATGTGATGCGAAGCAATGTATTGTAATGTGATGTAATGATTAGTGTGTGATGTGTGTGTGTGGCAAAGGCAAAGGGTCGGTACACATGTACGCACGCATGCAAGCGTACAGCAACAGGCAACAGGCAGTCAGCCATCCAAAGCTTGCAACATTTTCTAGCTGCATTTGTTGAAATTTTGCTATGGAATTAAGACGCTCGCCGCACGATACGCTCTGATGCGAAGCGATGGATGTCATACGATGCCGTGCGATGCATTTTCACTTGCCCACACCACACACGTTTCTGCGTCTCTTGCGCGCTCATACTTTACTATTGGCTTGCCGCATTGCAGCATAACAAAATCTCATTGTTCTTCTTGCTTCTGCGATTTCTTCTCGCTTTTTTGACTCATATTAGTTGCTGTTGTTATTGCCTTTGTAGTGTGCTGCTACATGCATTGTTCGACTGAGTCTGCTCACATCGACTACATCGACTTCTGCTTGGGTTGGCTTGATGGCATTGCGTTGTGTTGCGTCGCGTCGCATTTCGGTTGCTCGAAAGCTGTTAATGACACATTTTTTTGCGCTTTGATTTTCGTCGCCCACCTTTATGTTGCACATATGCGAGTTTGCTTGCTGGCGAGTGTGGTACCAATAGAGTTGGTAAAAAATTGTATATACTTTGCTGAGAGCCGTGCTGCTAGTCATACTAGAACTAAAAATACAAGTGAAAACAGATTTTGCTGACGAACAGCATCGATAGAATCGAAAGATGATTCGTTGAAGGAAAATTCATGTATTGAATATAGTCAGAAGCATCGTCGTACCTCTCAGGTCGCGCGTGTAGTTCTTTGCAACTAACAACAAATATTATAACCAAAGCACAATACCTTGCAATTAGAGTTCATATTTAACTAAACTCTGTTTAATTTGCGTCAATCTTCCGCTAATAGTTATGTCATGTTACACCTGAGATCCACATTCAAACACAAAAACCAAAGTTCTGGCATTCCCGAAACCAGAAAACAAGTCTCTATAGCAGACAGAACCGTATTTTCGAAAACTATTCAGCGATTTCACTTGAACCTAGAACTACAAGAAAAGGTCAAAAGATGACAGATGAATACCGGACTTCATATCTTCCTAACATAAGTTGTTGCAACTAAACGAAGGTAAGCTGAAGCAAGTTCAACAGTAAATTATTCACGCCAAAGCAAAATACAATTACGGAAGTGCTTTTCTTATAACAAAATTTTTATACACTGGTTAATAAAATTTTAACACTTAAAACCTTAAAAGCGTTTTTATCGAAACTGTGCTTTCAAAGTCGGTTGTCAAGATTTCTCGCGAACTACGAAACTGATCTTAATGAAATTTTACACAGGCCTTTGAGATATAGTAACAAGGTCTTGAACGAAGAATTTTTTATTTTGTTCAATTACAACTATTTAAAAAAGCAAAACGTCGAGAAATTTTCCCCGAAATTGCATTTTTTTGTAAAAACGGTTTTCCCTTTTTTTTGGTTTTCTTGCATCCAGTACCTGTCTAATGGTCTTAATTAAAGCCCATATTTTTTTTCTTTTTACTTTTAATGACCCTGTGAGGAGTTTTGCTATCAACGCGGAGCCACCTTTTTCCGCGAGACTACCGGGAATAGCGTCGTAATAGCTGAGTTTTGAATATTTTCCTTTAAAAACTTCGCAAAATCTTTTAAAATATGTATTTTTGGAATAATAAAAAAAATTATTGAAAATAGGCCGAAATTATAACCCTTAAATGCATAAGTTTTCCATACAAGCTTTTGATTCCGATTGTTCAGTGTGTATGACAGCTATATGTTATAGTGTTCCGATCTGAACAATTTCTTCGGAGATTACCCCAATGCCTTAGATAACAGTCCATGAAGACATTTCGTCAAATGAAAAGGCTTTCCATACAAGCATTGGATCCCGTCGTTCGGGTTGTGGCAGCTATATGCTATAGTAATCCAACATCGGCGGTTCCGAAAAATTTCAGACAGATATATCAAAAACTGAGGGACTAGTTCGCGTATATACAAGCGTATATACGTTTGACACACAATTAATAATATTTTGTTTATATTTTTTGGTAGATGGCAACTCTATTCCAAAACACGTATAAATTAAATGATTATACTGTACTAAAGGTCTTCTTAGAGATCAACCTTTGCAATAAGTTGTTAACATTTGGCTTTTAATTTTTGGAATATTGGCAACTACTAATAAATTATCTGTGTAAATTAAATAATTTCATTAAAATTAGAAAATAATAAATATCGGAAAAGTTTTTCCTTTCCTTTATAAACTTTTTGCTTTTAATGCTGGAAAAGTGGTAACTCCTAATAAATGATCGGTACAAACTAAATAATTTCATTATTATCGGAAAAGTGATCTTAAAAGTCAACCCAATTATAAATATTTATTTTGCTTTAAATTTTGCAAAAGCTGGCACCTCCAGATGAATTAACTGTATAAATTAAATAATTGCATTATTATCGAAAATTATTTTTCAAAGATCAACGTTTGACACA